ACCATAACCACATTATGGCATATTTCTCTGACGCTTGTTGATGTAGTAGGCAATCATTCCGATGATGGAAAGTGTCCCTTCTATATGCATGAGCCCTGTCATCATGAGCCTCGCTGCTGTGAAAACAAACGAAGAAACGTGAAAACGAGAGTTTTATTATACACAAGGACAAGAAGAAGAAAGTTGAAAAACATCCATCTAGTGAATAAAAGAGTCAAGAAAATACCAAGTTTTGCCTAAATTCGTCATTGCTTATTTGCTTGTGGTTTAAGGAAAAAAGAAAAGAATCCTAACCGCAGAATTTGTGAAGGCAAACCATGGTGATAAGTAGCGGAGAAGTGACCGATGAGCATCGACTGCACTGATTAAAATCAAAATCTAATGGTAAGCAAGGAAAGAAGCACAATCACATATACATAGTTTCTAAGAGATCAACAATTAAAGTTTCGTCTCATCCAAATCGATCTTACGAGTTCGAGCCATACCGAATTTACAATTTCAGACGGCCCAAAATACCGAATATACTTAAGGAGCACCAAATTTTATAACCTCAAGCCTCGCCTCGAGGTGGTTGACCGGTACGTTGACCGCGATCATAAGATTGTTGAAAGTAATTCATCATCACTTTCACATGTGCTTCTAGATTGTTTTACCATGGAGGTTGGTGAAGGAGGTACACAAGTCAAAAATGGAAGTTGGTTTTGTTGTCAACAAATTTGGCTCACTTATTCACACTTAACCAACCTCCTCCTCAAACACCCTATAAATATGTGAGCTTCTCATTGTTTGTAATCATCCCAAAATCATCCCATAGAATAAAAATATAAGAGAGTACAAGAGAGAAGTTGCAATCTCAAGCAACAAAGAGTTTTGTGAGGTTTTATAAAAATAATGAGTGGTGTGAGATATGATTGTCTTTCTTAAGTTATAAACTTTGTATTGTGAGTGATTTACAAATAAATATAAGAGTGTTTTGTTTGTTTTTCAACATTTGGTATCAGAGCGAAGTCGATCCGACCAACTCATATATTTGGTTGTTATTTGGAGGCTTTGTTAAAATCATGGCGGATTTTACTACCTCTATTGAGAAGCTCAATAACAACAATTATGGGTCATGGAGTACTCGTATGAAGTTTTATTTGCTCGGGCAAGATTTATGGGATATTGTGAACGGAGCTGAGACGACGCCACCAAGAGAAGCAAGAAGCACATACACAACTTCTGACACCTCAACCTCAACACCGGTACGTCCAGACGTTGTACCGCAAAGACRAGTAMGTGATTCTGACYCCTTAAAGAAGTGGAAMGTTAAAGCAGGTAAAGCCATGTACGCTTTAACCATAGCTGTAGAAGAAGATTTCTTACAACGAATCAAAGATGCCTGAACGCCAAAGGAAGCTTGGGACATATTGACGTCAATTTTTGCAAASAAGAATGACGCAAAATTACAAAGGCTTGAAAACGAGCTTTTGTCAATCTCCCAGAAGAATATGTRCGTGAGTCAATATTTTTCAAAGGTGAAATCTCTTTGTGATGAGATTTCTAAGCTAGATCCTGAAAATGGAATTACACAGACCAGAATGAAAAGAATTATCATTCATGGTCTTAAGCCAGAATACAAGAGTATTATCACGGCGACTCGGGGATGGGCTACCGAGCCAACTTTAGCCGATCTAGAGAATTTGCTAATCAATGAGGAGGATCTAGATAAATCCACGCTTAGCGGACCAACCAACGGTGAAGAGACAGCGTTATTCACCAATAGAAGAAGCATGCAAGTATATGATTACGGCC